CATGGTAATTATGCACCAAGATCTTGCTCAAAGTCAATTAAAAAGAAATCAAAAAAGTCATGGCAGATCCTAGTTAGACTGATAGACACAGACTTGCACAACTGATAGGAAGATTTAGGAGTTATGTTAAGTCACAAGAAAGTTGTTAAGGCATTATTGCTAACAAGATTACCAACTCTTTATGCTGCCAAGACATAGAAAAGAAATGCTGTCTTACACAAAGCAATACAAACTCTGGGCATTTTCTAAGCTACACCATCACTGCTACTTGAGCCTATAACCAGGAGTTCCTCTTCAATCTATATAGTCTATATAGTCACATGGTACTAAATATAGCCAAAAAAAAAAAAAAAAGAAAAAAAAAAGAAAAAAAAAGCAGAGCAAGCTGATTTTAAATCAAACAAGTCAAGTTTTCCAGTTTTGACTTATGTTCACTATGCACCTCAATTCTCCAGTCCAGTAAGGATGCCAGCTTCCAGACCCCTTTCACTGTTGTCTTTTAGAACAACTTTTGTAATCATGCAAAAATTTTCTATCTGCATTTTCTATCCAAGAGTGAGTCACATAGCAGGACACTAGCACAGGGCATTGCTATGCCAAGTTACTATACAAATGTAAAACAAAATTATTCCTGCTCTAAAAAGTTCACTGTGTGGGGAAGCTTGTTCTACTCAGTCCTTATATGTCTAACTCCATTGTAATGTCTGCTACAGCCTTCTTAAAAACCTTTTTCCAAACCAAAAGCCCTCTGTAACTTCAAAAATGAACTCTGTCATAATAAAATCAACTGCCTCTTAACCATACACCATCTAACTTGCCCCTATAAATGCATAATGCTCTAATTTATGAGTGCCCTCTTTTGTTTGTTTGATACTATTACCATTTATTTTGCTATTTCACAGGCAAAAACCACACTAGTATCTATCCCAGGAATGTAGATAACCACACTGACAACTGTTTAAAAGAATAAAAATATAAAATCAAATAATTAATAAACTCCTACCAGGTCAGACACGTTCGTAAAAGAAAAATGGAGTGAGAGCTCACTTTGTCATAAAAATGATACTTTAAGCAACAAATCACTCATGCCAATCAACTGACAGAATATTATTTGGGGAATTATTACAGGAAATGGAGAAACAAGTACTGATGTTCATTATTTCAAAGGGAAACAAAACATTATTAATAGTTAAAATGTAAAATAGAAGGAATGAGATTGATCTTAGATATGTTGTGATTGTGACATTCAGTATAATGCTGCCCAGATTCTTCCTTCTAATTGCTAATGGAAACTTAACCCTGCAATAATAGAACACATTGCAAGCCCTAGATTAAGTACTAGAATACAGCACAAATACTGCATAAATATGCCCATCTTCTTTGGAGCAGGATTTAATTTTTCCTTTGCCAAAGACCTTACCAATCTGTGATTATTCTGATCCTGGTGTTTGATTCAGGCTTCTCCAATGGTACAGAAGTGGGGCTAACATCCCCTTTTCTCTTGAACATCAATGCCTAAACTGCCTTGGGCAGGCAATGTTGTATTAACCTCTTCAAACAAAGAGGAGACATGAATAGGGTTGTTTCTAACAGGTAAAGGGCCTTACTATTAACTAGGAGAAACAGGCCAAGAAAAGCTACTGTGAGTGACTACATAAAGGGACCAGTTAGTTTGCCTATTCTGTGAACTTGTTACACCCAAGTATAGTTTTAAGTCTGCCCTTCCTGGCCAAATATGCCACTAATTTTACCAGGTGGGCATGCTCCTGAAACCAGATTTTATGTATTCACAATATATTTGGTACCAGGAGATCAGCAACCTGCTATCTCTTCTTGCTTTCTGGCAATGGCAGAGAGGGTTAATTTAATTTTCAAAAGACAAATACATAGCATTCTGCAGGTTCATCTGTTACTTACACTGAACAGTTTGTGGGCCAGTGGCCCATACTAACTAAAATGGGCTTCTAGTATGATAAGAAGCAGACAGATATGTCTCACTCTAGATAGAGGATCTTTCTAGTACCCAACTCACTAAGAAGAAGTAAGTTATTCCTCTGTAAGATAAGTCTGGAAAATTTTCCATATATGAGAACCAGTGGTCACCACCAAACATCAGAGCAGCACAAAACCAGTTGGTGAAATAGCGAGAGACCCAGTCTATACACTTCTATAGTGGATTTTGTTGCCTAACACAAGAGGAGCAAGGTCATACGAAAGAATTAAAAAATGGCTTTGCAAGATCTAAGCCCATTAATGTGAGCTAGGTCTGTTCACTCTGAATTCCTCTCCTTTCCCACAGACTCAACCTTCTTTCAGCTGAGGATGACTCTACGGGATTATCTCCAGAGCCCATTAAATGCTGCTCCAAGGTTTGCCAAAGGCACTGCTGCTGAAGGACATGACACCTGCAGGTGCGATGAAGCTGCCTTTTCAGCATTTGGGGCAAAAGATGGCATTTGGTATTTTGGCATCGGGCTGCTGAGTACTGCATCCAGTTTCATTGTTACTCTCTATGTTTAAAGCTGCTCAAAACACTTTCTGTGAGACTAATTCACACAGTTTCTCTATCAAACAATTATTTCCTTATATTCATCCTGAATTTATTATTTCTCAATTTTAATCTGTAGCTCTAATTATTCCTTCTCCTCCTTTGGTTCCTTCAACTATTTATGTGTTCCTAATTAGGGGAAAAGAGAAAAATAATTCTCTAAGAAAACTGGAAGTTACTTAAAGTATCATGCATTCCTAGTTAATGACTTAACAGCTGTCATGAAAGCATCTCACAGTGAGAGAACAGCAACACATTGTTCTCCAAGTGCAAAAACTATCAGGTACTGTCAGGAAAAAACCTGAACTGACCATCATGTAATGCATTACCATCAGTGTACCACAGGGTATGCAACAAGGTTAAAAAAAATAGTTCTAATCCTCATTCCATTTCTTTCCATTAAAGGAGAAAACTGTGGCATTTACTTCCCAGTGTAATATTTCTTTCTAAGATCCCCTGCAAATATGTGCAAAGGAAAGCATAACTTTGAAGTACCACTAACACTGACTACCTAAGCATTATACTAGTGTAATAATGCAGGTGCCAAGCAAACATAAGGACAGTTTCTTCACTGCCTGCAAGAAGCTGTCTTGAAACAGTGGATTCCTTATCCAGTGGTGACCTCCATTCCTTACCTCAACGGAAAGCACTGCTAAAGTGTGACATCCTGACAAAATGCCAACCCTGGGGTGTTTTGACCGAGTGTCATCTAGCCCAGACAAACTGGATGGGATTAGTCACATGTCCTGCTCAGGCAGGTGGTAGAGTATTTCTGTACATGAGGATCACTTCACTGTAAACATCATTACACTGGATTTTCAGCTCCACAGTATCATTTTATAAAGTGAATATGAGTTGGGGGATGGTAACAGTCAATTATTCAGATTGTTTCAGTCAAGAAAACAGCTTTCTACAGCACCACAACACTAAAGCTTCAGGACTTTAGGAGGCTCCACCATAGCTCAGAAGCTTTGATACAGAGATGCTGTCTATCTGACGTACTTTGGTACGAGACATGAAACTTTGAGATGTAGAATTTCTTTTCACTCTGAGCAACTCCAAGAAAACCCTTGAAATCTTGCTTCTAGTGTAAGGCTGATAAAATTGCAGTCTCCCACCTTCCTGATCCTGTCAGTTCTTTTTATAAGGACAGCACTTCCACCAGTCAAATTTTTCTCATGTACCTAACAGTTACTCTATTCCATACAGTCCCCTCTGGTGAAAATAATAATGTATTCATAAATAAAATTTTCATGCTACGTCAGACACATGCCAGACACAACACACCTGCTACCATTTCCCTCTCTCCATCTACTTACTTTGCTATCCCCTTAATGTAGTACTTGGGTACCATTTTTCCCCCACCCTATCTGAAGGCAATGTTTGTGACTGCATCCACTTTAAAGGAATGCTCATGTTTCAGCGCTTGGAACACTGCACAAGAATTCACTCGTTGTGGCAAACCATTGTGCGTACTCATTTGGTTCTCATTTAATAACACTGAAAATAGTCTGGATTAAATGAAGAAAGACTCACAATTAAGAGTGCAGACCCCTGTGTCAAGCTATAAATCTTACTGTGAACATGAACTTTTTTACTACAACATGCATGACAGTGTTATTTTCCATATAAGCAGTGTTTTATGAATCAAATATGAAGTAAAGAAGTTTTTTATATTATGCTATCCACCTTATTTTTATCCCAAGGAAAATATATTTTTTCTAGATACAATATTAACTTTAACACAAAACCAGCCTGGTAGGGTTTGATTATCCAGAATGTGGAATAAAAAGGAATCACTCCATTTGATGACAGTAAATGTTCCCTCTGAGGACTTACACCAAACTCTGTACTGTTTTGATATTAGTTAAAAGTCATCAGGCCAGTAGGGTTCAAATATTTCAGTATCTTTAAAGGCAATAGGAGCACCTGTGGTTGGCTATTAAATACACTGGCAACCAATTCTCAACTCTGAACTATGTAACTTAAAGTTGCAGTTATTTCTTTCTATAACACAACCTCTCTTTGCTTCTGTGTTCCTTATTGCAATAAAAAGCCAGAAATATTAAACATACAGGAGAATTAAATTAGAATTTGTAAACCAGCAATAATATTATTCTGTTTTCAGTGTTCTAAATCCTTAAAGTTCAGCTTAAATAAACGTCATGTATCAGCTCCTTAAACAGCGTTAGCTATGTAAACAGCATTTAAAAATGCAAGAAGTTCAACTTTATAAAAATTACGTCTGCAGGCTGTTAAAGGAGAATCTGCAAGAAATGTCAAACAATACTTTTCCTTGTGTACTCCACTGAAATAACAAGAAAGTTGCATCTGGAAACAGTTACTGGCACAGGACTTAAAGTATTGCGTTACCTTTAATGAACTAAATATTATTAATCAAGGGCCGGATATAACTGTGCCACCCAGCTGGCTTGTAATTTAATTAATTTACCTTCTTGGGAGATGACAATGGACTTTGATGATTTGATGGTTTTGCTGTCTAGAGTCCAGCTGACAGCTGCAGGGGGATCAGAGGAAATCCGACATTGTAAGACCAATTTTTCACCATCTACTACTTGAACATCCTGAAGCTTCTGGGTAAAGGAGGGTGCTGTTCCTTTGCTTGCTGGTGGTTTGCTTGCTGTTGCTTTGTTTTCAGCTTTTTGCCCAATTATTCCTCCATCCACCACTGCACACCCATGTTCACAGTTTCTGTCATTCTTCTCTTCTTTTTTCACTGCTGGTTTGGCAACAGGGACTTGAGAATTGGGGGTCGCATTCTGGGCTTCAGAATTAGTGCGGGCATTTGGTGCTGGGGTGCTAGCGCTGCCATTCTCTGCAGGTGGCTTTTTCTTTGAGCCTAGCACAGATCTGAAATCTGTAACAGCTGGTTTGGGAGGTGGCACCTTCTCTGGCAATGGGGCTTTTGGGGTGCCTTTCTTGGCCAGCACAGAACGAAAGTCCACCTGCTGAGGTGCATGAACTTTCCTTTCCTCCTCTGACAAGGTCTTGGGTTTGACCTGCCGCTGCAGGTTTGCTCGGAAGTCCATTTGCTCGGCTGGTATTTCTTTCAGTTCCTCCTCAGAAAAACTTTTGGTGCTGACTTTCTTGCCTAAAATGTCACGGAAATCAAGTTGCTCAGCTTCCTGTTGCCTTAGGCTCTCCTCTGTGTGTTCCCGGGTTTCCACTCGCCTCTTCAGCACACCTCGGACGTCTTCCTGCTCTTCCTCAGCTGCTCTGGTTTCACTGCTGTTCTTTTTGAAGCCACTTGTTCTACCAAATGTTAGTTTACCATGATCTCCACCATCTCTTCCCTCTCCAGAGCTGGCTGATTCCCTCCCACTAAGATCCGAAAAAGAAAAGAAAGAGAGAGCCAGGAAAGGGGCTGGTTTAAAAATGTCAGGGAACAATCTCAGAGCAGGAACAAAATGTGTTTATAGAAGGGGAGGTTGATTAGAGGAGCACACTCCATTAGTTTATTGCATCAATGATGACTTCAGGAGCCATATAAGGGCACAAACAAAAAAGATCTTCTCTACTCTGGCTTGGTACAATGTGCTTAGCCTGTATGATGAAAACAATTTGTTGGGTCACATTTGGGGATTAAGTTGAACAGCAGCCAGGCTGGGTCTGTAAGGGCAGGGAATTAACAGAGCAAAAAATAGAACCCACCCATGCAAGTCCCTGGGAAAAATACTCACTCTCTGAGCATTTCTGCTCTGGAAGCTGAACTCTCCCGCAGCATCAGAGACACCTGGCAGCTGCATTCTCCAACTTGGTTCCTGAAATATTTAAGTGAAATCAGAAAAGCACAGGTTTCTCCCTCCAAAACTGTAACTTGTCTCAGCTAAGTGATTGTGTGTTGCACTAAAGCAGCTCAAACCCAGTGTGGCATCCTCCTTTCCTATGCCCAGCATTGTGGTGGTTGACTGAGTGGATTTGGTCCCCTTATGTTTGGAGCCAAGCTATATCTGTTGCTGTCTACACTGGGAAGAACATACTCCCTGAACAAAAATCAAAGCAATTTACAGAATAAAAGAGCTGCAAACAAACAAGCTAAAGGAAAACAAATACAAAAGCTGGAAAATCAAGGCAGAGGAAGGGGCGATTTTGCAAAGTTGAAAATCTTTCCAACTCTGCCTACTGTTTATTTATTCAAACCCAAGCTCTTAAGATTTCTAATGTTATGATATTAAAAGCAGGGTCTCATTTCCTTCCCTCCCCCGTAGCCCAACCAATCAGTAAAACCCGTCGACATGGATTGCTCTAGCCTGTACATGTTTATATTAAAAAACATAAAAGTGTCACCATATATGGTGCTGAGTACTTATTCTTCCTTTTGCAGAGGAATACCATGGATGCCTTCTGGAAAGGGCTCCCATTAAAGAATTCATTTAAAGTGCTCCCCCCACCCCCGCTGCTCCCTCCCTCTTGCAGATATATATCATTTTTTTATCCCCAAATGGCTCTTCTCCACTTAACACAGGAGATGCCAAAAGCAAAATTTAACTCCTCCAGGGTAGCAGTTCTGTAACTCCCTCTCTTCAGCTCCCCTGAACTGCTATTAAAAAAAACAGACTTGAACTGATTAAGGTCTAGAGACATATTTTATTAATGAAAACTCCTTCATCCTTCCCAGTTAAAGTATAAGCTTGTAAATGGACTACAAACTCCTGGATGATTTTTCTTTTTCAGACAAAAATCATTTTTGCTACCAAGAATATTTTCTGGACATGAACAAAACTATGTGCTTTGTGGGGAGGAAGGAAAAAGAGGCATGTTTTGCCAACTGTGTTCTGTTTTCAAAAGAATTGCTAGTTAAGAGCACCTTCAAGTCCACTTTGCTCTGATGTTTAAAACACAGACTCAGAAGTGCCTTTCTGTTAGTTTGCAATAAACATATTGTCTGGCCTGTTTTTTAAATAGTCCATGGAAATACATTCCTAGATATGGTTCTGTTTGGGTGAATAAACTATAATTTCACCCTTTTACAACTTGCAATAAGTCACACAGTAAGCAAGATTATTAACATAGATGCAGCACTAAGCTATGTCCTTATAATAACAATTAGTGCCATCATCTTTTCAGATGGATTTCCCTTGCTTTCTGTTGCTTTGGAAAGTGAAACAGTGGATCAGCCTAATATGAAAATCAAGCCTTTAACACTAGGAAGAAAACGGTGTAGTTGATGTAAGTGATTGGATTGTAAAGTAAAGGCCTTGCTGGTAAGAACACATCTTATCTGACCTTAAGACAACATTAACAACAAGAAACCATAGAAAAGTTTTCAACACTTATTATTGAACAAGTCAGAGTATGTCCACTAGAAATTGTTATTGAAGGCAATCCATAAGGCAGCACTGAAAGCTACAACCTTAAATTCCTTCAATACAAAAGACTAGAGAATATCTGAGTACCAAACAGAAACCGCCCAAATGGCAGGAGAAGATTCAAGTCAATGCAGAGAGTATTTAACTCAGTCCTGCACTGGAGACCTGCCATTCTTACTTCCTCTTATGTGTGACCTTCATTTGGAAGCAAGAGAAATAGAAAGAAGGAAAGACAAATAGAAAGATAAATAGAAAGAACTGCACATCACCTCCTCCCAACATACTGATTGGTATCAAATGATGGCAGGGTACCAACACTGCTGAAAACCTGGTATCTTCAAACAACGCATTTCAGACTGGCCCCTTTTGCCACTGGCCCCTTTTGCCACTATTGAAGCTCATGAATTTTTTTCCTGTTTCTCAGAAGCTTTTAAGAAAAGCAGAGACTGCTTTGAAACCGCTCAAGTAGTTTCTCATTCATCAGTGCTACAAGGCCCTTAGCAGCCTGTGGTTTACCAGAAGATCCCTGGTGTAAGTCTCCTAGAGCTCAATTACTCTTTAGGACTTAAAACCAATCCAAAGCTGGCAAAGTAGGAGAAGCCATGCAAGCTGAAGTATAGACAATTTACGGCATACAACAAACAGGGAGGCACCACTGCTCAGCCTGTCATGACTGTATGGCAAAAATATTTGCCCACAAGAATTGTGTCACCAGTGGGAGAGGTTAAAGTAACAGAGACAGAACTCTCCAAGGAGAGGGATCCAGGGATACTGAATGTGATCCTGACCACTGTGAAGAATAATAGCATTTCTGCAGGATTCATTTCTGCAATGAATCTTTTCCCCTGCAAATTCTTCACATATGCAAAGAAGTAAATAAGGAAGGCAAAGTAAACCTATCTAAACTAAGCTATTTTTCACAGGGTTTGGAAAATAAAGGAGGGGGTAAGAAAGCAGGAGAGCATTTTGTTCTTTCTATTTTTAAAACCTTGGGAAGCACTTAACAGTGCAACAGAGGGACATAGAAGTACCTAGATGGAAAAATGATTCACAAGGTAGCTTTTTGATCTTAATTATGATTCCTGATTCAAGTGAATGACTGAAAACTAGACCACTTGGTACAAACCTCAAGTCTGTGTCTGATTCATCATAACCCTGTTCAAAAGTGTAGTCTTCTCAGGGAAAGTCTTGCTCCCAGTGAAATCAAAGTGAGTTTTGTTACTGATTTTAGGAGTAGGGAGAACATAATTTTTTCTTCTGAATTCAGTTGCAGAGTCTAAAAAGGTGAAGCTAATAACGCTGACCCACCTTGGAGATCACAAGATGGAAAAAGAGAAACAAGCCAAGAAAAATTAAGAAGGACTGGATAGTTTAGATGCTAAATTCAATCAAGAATAATTTTGGAAACTTTGTAAATATTTTTATATTTATGCAATTTCAGAATCTAGGCAAGGCAAGATACATAAGGGCAGTTAGAAAAAATAGAGCTTTGCAGTACACAAGCACTACTTCAAGTCTTTCACATCCTTGCTGTTTTGAATCTTGGCAATAACAATATTACTTCTTTAACTTGAGGTTCTCTGTGTCGGCACTTTATCAACAAAACCCTAGACTAAGACAGATCTTAGTTGCTCTGTTATTGTGGAATAATGGTAGAAATGGATAAAACCTATGCTTAGTAGCTGTGCTGTAAGAAGTGTCTGGAAGTGTTGACTTTTGCAGGATTGTTTTGTAGAATGCCCATGCACAGCATTTATCTTTAAAATGTCAAGGAATAATAACAATAATAACCCCCCCCCACCAAAAACAAATAAAACCCCAGCTGCAAAGCCTAAAGCAATTTTAAAAATAGCTCTCTGTCCTATTGTGGGATCAGTTTTCCCTGGAATGGCTTTTATGTTCAAAATATCTTGAAATACTAGTTTCTTGGCAGAATCTACTCAAATATTTTCACTGAACCTTAGATGAGACTTATTGTCTGCATGTCCCTAGGAAGCACTCTCTGGAGGAAGAGGAAAAAAGCTCTATTAATCATACTGTAGGGACACACAGAAAAGTCCTCCAGGCCTACCAAGTGTGAAACAAATATTGCAGAAAAATTACATTTTTTTTAAGAATGAATTGAACAGGGCAAAGAAGTTGATCCCTAGCTATAGCTGGTGCTTCAGTGCAGGTAACTGCAAAGACTCAGAATGAGGTTTTGCAATACTTTTGGGAGTTAGTTAAATGGAGAGAAAGTCCAGACTCCATGAAGCTTTAACCCCAAAGAAAGCAACTAATCTACTGGATCACAACTTTAGCTGACATAAAGCAGAGCAGCTCTACTGGCTTCAAAGAGGATGCACTGATTAACCTCATTTGAGGTTTTGGCCAAAAGATTTTTATACCTGAAAGACCAATCATTTTATTTGCATTTTACAACACTGAGTGGGAGAATTGGACAGGAAGGGGTCATGGTTTTCTTTCCTAAAAATAGACAATGTGTTGTTAGCAGAAAACAAGCTTTGCAAACTGTATTTTACAGAAAGACAGAACTACATTTACTGTTTGGTGTAACGAAACGTAATCCTACAGCTGCTTTTTATATAACCTGAATTGCAAAATATTTGAGGTAACACTGATTTATAAGGTAAATGTTTACTTCTGATATTAATCAGATCATCAAAATCTCTAAATAAGTTTTATCAACACTAACCCAACATTTATTGAAGATGAAGTCAGAGAGAACAGAAATAACCAGCGTCTGAGAAGACAAAAGTTAACAAAGCAGATGATTTCTTTAAGGAACTGCAGGAGGATTTCTGAGGTTGCTTATGTTGACTGTGCTGTTATAAAGATAAAGGCTTTCCTCTACAAACACAGTCTTTGTCAAGTGGTCCCAATTTCTTTGTTTATCTCTTAATTTATGATGTACACAATGACTGAAAGAACATGGGTAAGTCATACTGGGATAAAAAAATACCAGTCCTTGCATCACTGGAAGGATACAAAGGACAGCAGGAGAAAAAGATATCTGTGGTTTTCTGAGTCAGAAAAGGATTTATTTCCCATTTCAATCATGATGGTTTCACA